ATCCTTGCAATGCATACAGCAGGATCATCCACTAAAGTAACTGAATTCCGTTCTACATCAGATCAATCCATACACAACGCAAACCCCTTTCTATCCGTTCTGGAATATCAAAGAACAGGGACACTCAGCACCTGGAATTATCATTTTTTATTTTCTACAGTCTGTGACAAAATCCCATTATCTCATCCGCTGTCGGATCGTTCAGTGACGCGCGCTGTCAGAGAGAGCGCTCTGCTCTGCGGAGACACGAGTGACAGAATGACACAAACAATACGCCGGCAATACTTCTCCGCCACCGCCGCTCACAGTGCCAGATGGCACCTTCTCCATTTCAATCAGCGCAAGGCGCGCTCGTCTGTGGCAGGAGGAAGCGGCAGAGGGAACAAATCCCTCATTGGTAAGACGGGGAGAGCGGGAGTGTCATACAATGGACAATTGTGTGCCGAGGTTCACCGAAGGCGTGAGCAATCACTATTACACAAAACTTGGCAAGACACGAACTTCAGACGCATGCCAGATGGGTAAATAAACCTCTTCCCCGTAATTATGTCAAGTTCCCAGTAAGATTTACAGCGAAGGAAACAAACGTCAGCAAACATCTCCGAAACTGGTTTCCAAAAAGTTCACAATGGCTTACACACCGTTCCAAGGGATTGGTCCTCCAAGAGTCCTATCGAAGGCCAAGAATTTTCTGGCATGTTTTGTTTAGGAGTTTAAATCAGTATTTTTTGCAAGAAAATTACTTATAACCTCCAAATAAAATATATATATATATACACACACACACATACACACACACATATATATATACATACACATACAGTACATACATATACACATACAAAAGTGAGTCCACCCCTAAGTGACAAGGTCCAAATTGGGCCCAATTAGCCATTTTCCCTCCCCGGAGTCATGTGACTCGTTGGTGTTACAAGGTCTCAGGTGTGAATGGGGAGCAGGTGGGTTACATTCGGTGTTATCGCTCTCACTCTCTCATACTGGTCACTGGAAGTTCAACCTGGCACCTCATGGCAAAGAACTCTCTGAGGATCTGAAAAAATGAATTGTTGCTCTACATAAAAGATGGCCGAGGTTATAAGAAGATTGCCAAGACCCTGAAACTGAGCTGCAGCACGGTGGCCAAGACCATACAGCGGTTTAACAGGACAGGTTCCACTCAGAACAGGCCTCGCCATGGTCCACCAAAGATGCTGAGTGCACATGCTCAGCGTCATATCCAGAGGTTGTCTTTGGGAAATAGATGTATGAGTGCTGCCAGCATTGCTGCAGAGGGTGAAGGGGTGGGGGGTCAGCCTGTCAGTGCTCAGACCCACACTGCATCAAATTGGTCTGCATGGCTGTCGTCCCAGAAGGAAGCCTCTTCTAAAGATGATGCACAAGAAAGCCGCAAACAGTTTGCTGAAGACAAGCAGATTGAGGACATGGATTACTGGAACCATCCTGTGGTCTGATGACACCAAGATCAACTGATTGGGTTCAGATGGTGTCAAGCGTGTGTGGTGGCAACCAGGTGAGGAGTACAAAGACAAGTGTGTCTTGCCTACAGTCAAGCATTTTGGTGGGAGTGTCATGGTCTGGGGCTGCATGAGTGCTGCCGGCACTGGGGAGCTACAGTTCATTGAGGGAACCATGAATGCCAACATGTACTGTGACATACTGAAGCAGAGTATGATCCCCTCCCTTCGGAGACTGGGCCACAGGGCAGTATTCCAACATAACGACCCCAAACACACCTCCAAGACGACCCACTGCCTTGCTAAAGAAGCGGAGGGTAAAGGTGATGGACTGGACAAGCATGTCTCCAGACCTGAACCCTATTGAGCATCTATGGGGCATCCTCAAACGGAAGGTGGAGGAGCACAAGGTCTCTAACATCCACCAGCTACGTGATGTCGTCATGGAGGAGAGGAAGAGGACTCCAGTGGTGACCTGTGAAGCTCTGGTGACCTCCATACCCAAGAGGGTTAAAACAGTACTGGAAATAATGGCGGCCACACAAAATATTGACACTTTGGGCCCAATTTGGACCTTGTCACTTAGGGGTGGACTGACTTTTGTTGCCAGCGGTTTAGACATTAATGGCTGAGTGTTGAGTTATTTTGAGGGGACAGCAAATTTCCATGTTATACAAGCTGTACACTGACTACGTCACATTGTAGCAAAGTGTCATTTCTTCAGTGTTGTCACATGGAAAGAGAGAATCAAGTATTTACAAACATGTGAGTGGACTCACTTCTGGGAGATACTAATATATATATATTTTTTTTTTTTTTTTTTTTAATACAAACTTTTTTTTTTAAATTGAAAAATAAAGTGAAATACAGGAGCAAAGAACAGGGCAGTAGACAATCATATAAGTGGGTACAAAAAAAAAAAAAAGTACATTGTTCATATAGAGCATAAACAATAGGATTACATCTTTATAGCCCCTTTGTTGCAGAGTTTTAAGATCACATCAGTATAAAATTTTACAGAGTATGTAGAGGCTGAGCAGGGGAAACAAAAGTCAGAGAAGGAAAAGAAAGAAAAGAAGAGCAGAAGACACAACAGGAATGATAATAACAGCTGCAGGTGGGCCATCAAGTGCCATTTCAACAATCAACTAGCCATAATGTATCTGATTTGTAAAAGTCTGTTCATTATCAAACTTGGAGGTGCCAAGCCGGGCGTATCTAACCAGTTCTGCCAGATTAACTCAAATTTACGTGGGGCATTCAGGTGAGGATCGGTCATCTGTTCTCATAAAAGAAGAGAATAAACATACTCCACCCAACATTTCTTAGAAGGTATTGTACTAGACAGCCAGTGTCTAGCGATTAGTTTTCTTGCTAAATACAATAGACAAGTAATCATGATATAGATACCCGGAGAGTACAGCTCAGGGTCCAGCGCTCCCAGGAGACACACTAATGGATCCAAAGGGACAGGAGTCTGGGAGAGGCAAGACACAACCCCCAGAACATCCTCCCAATATCTTGCTAATTTTGGCCATCTCCAAATCATGTGGAGATACTGATATTTCTATCTATCTATCTCGAGAGAGAGAGAGAGAGAGAGAGATGATATATATAGACAGGGGCGGATTGACAACTCATGGGGCCCCCGGGCAATAGGGGATCATGGGGCCCCTGTGTCCTTGCCCAAACTCAAAAAAGCCTATGAAAAAGGTACCAGGGGCATCTCATGGGGCCCCCTACTGACCCCGGGCCCTCGGGCAGTGCCCGAGTTTCCAAATGGTCAGTCTGCCCCTGTATATAGATGATAGAGATATATATATATAGATGATAGAGATATATACATACATATATATAAATAAATAATATTATAGTGGCTTTGGCTAGCGGAACAGTAGATGGTATCCCTAAATCCCTAATAAAAGGGGGGAAGCTGGTCCATGGAAAGTTGGGGAATGCCATTCCCCACCCTCGACTGCACGCGCTTCGCTGGGGAGGTCTGGCCCTCAGCCAGCTCCTCTGCGCATGCACAGTCCTTCCCTGTGCCATAGCTGGCTTCTGGGCAGGCAGTCATCTCGGTGCACCTGTACCGGCTCCCACGCAGTCTCTTTGACCGGATCATGTGATGTCACGCCGCCGCCAGCGGCGTGGTTGCCCCGATTCAGGGCTAGTCAGGGCCAGGTGACGCGACAGTGCTCGTGAAGCCACTACTGTGGCCTTATCGTCCGGGGTGGACGCAGACTGGCAGTTAAATCCCAGGTAACGGATATTAAGGCGATTGGTAAGCCTCATCTCGTGGTACAATTTGGGTGTTGTAGGGGCCTGCTATGCTACAAGGGAGGGTCATTGACTTGCGGTCTTGTTCCTTAACCCCTTGGCGCTGGCGCCTCCCGTCCCTTTAAGGGTTTCAGAAACCAGGAGGCGGGGTTTATGGTCATGTGACTACTGTGACACACGGTCACATGATCGGGAAAGGTCCCGATCAAAAGATGAGATCGAGACCTTTCCATGAGTGCCGGACATGTGCGCTGGGAGCGCGCTCTCATCACGATTTTTTTTTTTAATAGAACGCAAATGTGCGGCCGCTCAACGTCTAGGCCTAGACGTCGGGAGGCCGCACATTTACATTCGGCCAGCGCCAAGAGGTTAAAGTATTGCCTATGCGGAGAGGTGAATGGTGTGCAGGTCTTACTGGTGTCCATTGTGCCCAGTGGGGATTGGATAGTATGCACGTTCTGACATATTTGGGTCTACGTTGTTGATGGTAAGCCATCTATATTTTTTTTTTTTTTTTTTTTTTTTTAGGTACTTTGCCCAATTTTTTATTGTTACTGTTATGACAAACATGTCCTCTACACTAATATTGGTACAGGGGATTATATTATATAAAAAGGTATTATTCACCCATTCCCCTTTTTTCTTTTCCCCCATCTTTTTCCAGTAAATCATCAAATTCATCATATTATCCAGGGTCTGTTTGGAGACCAATTCGTACTATTCAATCTATTTGACCTAGTAAGTACATTTTTTGGTTTACTAGGTTTGATTATGCCTCATTGGAGTGTGTTTGGTACACATGGTAGCATACCACATACCAACTGTGGGGCACTATTCTTCCCACTGACACCAATGATGGGGCACTATTCCTCCCACTGACACCAATGATGGGGCACTATTCTTCCCACTGACACCAATGATGGGGCACTATTCCTCCCACTGACACCAATGACGGGGCACTATTCTTCCCACTGACACCAATGATGGGGCACTGTTCCTTCCACTGACACCAATGACGGGGCACTATTCTTCCCCACTGACACCAATGATGGGGCACTATTCCTTCCACTGACACCAATGATGGGGCACTATTCCTCCCACTGACACCAATGACGGGGCACTATTCTTCCCACTGACACCAATGATGGGGCACTATTCCTCCCACTGACACCAATGATGGGGCACTATTCCTCCCACTGATACCAATGATGGGGCACTATTCCTTCCACTGACACCAATGATGGGGCACTATTCCTCCCACTGACACCAATGATAGGGCACTATTCCTCCCACTGATACCAATGATGGGGCACTATTCCTCCCACTGACACCAATGATGGGGCACTATTCCTCCCACTGATACCAATGATGGGGCACTATTCCTCCCACTGATACCAATGATGGGGCACTATTCCTCCCACTGATACCAATATGGGGCACGATTCCTCCTACTGATACCAACAATGGGGCACAATTCCTCCTACTGACACCAACAATGGGGCACTATTCCTCCCCACTGACACCAATGATGGGGCACTATTCTTCCCACTGACACCAATGATGGGGCACTATTCCTCCCACTGATATAAATGATAGGGCACTGTTCCTCCCACTGATATAAATGATAGGGCACTGTTCCTCCTAATAAAACCAAGATGGGTCTCCAACTGACAGAGGGGCATATTCTATTTCCACTGGCCACAGTCTGGCCCCCCTTAAATACACAACACACAAATCAGGAGCAAAAAATTTACTCTAATATATAGAAACAAATCTCATAATTAAACATATATTACATAGAGTACATAATAATAGTGACACCACATAAGTAACATATACACTGTACAGAGCACAAATAAAGGAAATGCTTGCAGTAACATTAACTACCCAGGCAGTCCTCTATTAGTCTGTATGATGTTACTTTATTCACAAGAAAAAAAATCTAGTTAACCTCCCTGGAGGTATTCCTGAGTGTAGCTCGGGGTAAAGTTTCAGTATCACAAGCGGTAACCCCCCCGAGCTACACTCGGGCTTACCATGCGGCGCTGCACCGCGATCCCTCTATCACTTACCTTGTCCTGCGCTCCCGCGATGTCCCTCCTGCAGTGTCCCCGGCAATGTAATCCATCCGATGCCGGCATCTGTCTTCTGGGTTCCGTCCCCTGCGAGCGTCGGGACATACAGGGGATGGAACGGCGAAAATTTGAAAATTACAAAAAGTGACATTCACTAAAATCACATAGTACAACATTCCTGTATCAAACCATTTCACATACATTTTGTCCCGAGTGCTTTGTCCGGCGCCCTGTCTGCATTTTTACTGTTCTTTCTGCCTGGAAACTGAGAAACGTCCATGGCGTCCAAAAAGCGTCCCTTTAGGTCAGACGCGGTTTTAGACCGGCTAGAGAACAGCGATAGTAAATCAGAACCACTTGCAGAATTGAGTGATAATGATTCGTGGGGGAAATTCCTCATCAGACACTGAAAACGATTCTGCGACTGAGCTCAGCGATGTGCGAACTTGGCGCTATATTTCACATTTCAGTGTTTTTGGTTTGATTATATTATTGAATTAAATTTATTATTATAATTTTTTATGATTATATTATAATTTCGTGTTTCAGGTTTTATCCTCCCCGGGATGTTTACTAGACTCTTGTTCGGACAGATTTCAGTGAGTTATTCCTAAGAATTACAGGCTTACAATATAAAACGCCAAATTTCCATGCAAAATAATGTACCGCTTTCAGCACCAAAAATCTGAAATAATCAGACCGCCAGGGAGGTTAATGAACATCATGGTCCATGCTGTGAGGATTTCCAACCCTCCAAACACCCCAGAAAAAAGACCATCAGGAATCAAAACAACATATTTTAGTGATTCACCCCCCCCCCCCCCCCCCCAAATTGCACACCTCAGCCATGTTCCCCATTTTAAAAGACCGCCATGATGCAATAGCATGAATTATTTATTAACAAAGAACTTTGTACTCTTCACCAAATTGTGGGACACATTGGGGTTTATTTGCTAATGCTGGAGAGTACAAAATCAGGATCACTTCATCAAAGTAACCAATCAGCTTCTAACCTCATCTTGTTCAATTAGGCTTTGGCAATAAAACCTGGAAGCTGATTGGTTTCTGTGCAGAAGTGAGCCTGATTTTGCAGTCTTCAGCTTTAGCAAATATACGTCCCTATGTCTTAAAGTAGAAAAATAGGCAGAACCTTTTTTCCCCCCATTTTAGATACAGTAAGGGAGGGTTACAACCGTCATTTTTTTTCACCATCTGTGTCCCATTGGGAAGATTTCCCTTCACTTCCTTTCCCATAGCCAAACAGGAAGTGAGAGGAAATCTCTGCAAATTTGGGTAATTTATGGTGACATAATATATGGAGTTGTGTATTGCAAATTAGGAATGTAGATTTATATTATGAATAATTTGTTAGTTATATTATAAGTATTTCTGTATAGCAGTCAGAGCAGTGTTGATGGAAGGTATGTATAGTAATGGAGTAGAGTCCCAAGGGAGTGGGTGGATTATATAATAGAATGCCCATTTCTCCTCCTAGGCTTCACAGGAATCACTTCACGCATCATGGGGATGGACCTACTAGCATACACTGTATCTTTAGTCTGGTGATCGGTCATTTTACACTGTTTAAAGCAGTGTTTCTCAACTCCAGTCCTCATGGACCCCCAACAGGTCATGTTTTCAGGATTTCCCTCAGATGAAACAGCTGTGGTAATTACTAAGGCAGTGAAACTGATCAAATCACCTGTGCAAAATAATGGAAATCCTGAAAACATGACCTGTTGGGGGTCCATGAGGACTGGAGTTGAGAAACACTGGTTTAAAGGATGTTCCCTTCTTGATGTACTCTCAGCCAGTTCACGAACTTTGCAATAGCACTTGGTGGTTGTGTTTTTTTTGTTTTTAATCTTCCTTTTCATGGGGTGTTATGGCGAAAAGGATAGGGAGTCAGGATTGGTAAATTATCAGTGGGATAAGGAGACCAACTAGATGGGTCCTTTGGTTGCCTTGGACGGACCTCGCAGCTGAAACGAGAATAGCAGTTTCCAAGTTTGTTTTTTTTGTGTTTCACACACAGGTCATACAAGAACTAGAAGACACGAGGGTATAGCACTTTGAAACTAGCCATTTTATTATTTATGTGATATATACCATGTGTGATCTTCCTTTTTATATTTTATTTACATTCTGGGAGCATGTGGAGTTCAGTGCAGTGCCTGGGTTCGATCCTACCAGGGTGAAGGCTTCTTGGTGCTGTGTACGGTCTCCTGCTCGGTGAGCGATTCGGGCACCAGACGCTTGTGCTGGCTCATTCATCCACCCTTCTGATTGGTCTACCAGCATTTGGGTGGAGTGTTCCGGCATGTGTGTCTTCTTGAAGTGACAACACCGACGCCATTTTATGGCGCCGGTGGGTGGGTTCCTGTGGGAGTATATATTGGCAGGTCCTGGGCTTCTTTTCCTCTTCCTCTGACCATGTTGCATCTCCTTGATGGTGGCAGTGGTGGTTGATCTTCTTGATATGCAAAGGGTTTATGTTTGTTCCTTATGGTATGTATACATTCTTCCATCTTGTATATATATCTTAGTACTTGCCCCTGGGGTTTGAGGGCTATCACACAGTTCTTATATTGGATTAGGGGTTAAGTTTTATTAGGGGATGTTACCAATGAATTTGGTATATATATTGGTAATTAACTCCAGAGATTGGGTACAAGTAGTAATAAATAGTACCTGTAATCATAATTAGGGATGTAGACATGTTAGTATTTTGCTGCATACTATTTATACCACCATGTAGGATACATTGCAAATGTTGGAGGTTGGTGGCCCGGTCTGTCCTAGTATGCTCCAGTGGTTTTGCTTTGGGGATGGCGCATGGTTTCGGGGATGTCTTTCCCTCCCTTTGGGCTGTTGGATATGCCTGGATAACCACATGCATCTTGGGTAAGAAAATAATGTGGCAAAGAGAAAATGTAATGTGTATTTGTATCTGTTACAAATTGTCATTGTACATACTTACTGGTTTTTGTTTTATAGATTGTAATAAATGCTAATATGTATTGCTGAAGAAGCGATTTGGACCACGAAACGCGTAGAGCTCAACAGTGACCCTCTTTCCTCCCTCTTTGTATAAAGTGTAATTATAGTATTGTACATGGTCCTTCCTTGGACAGAGTAATTGGCTATCTTGATCTACAAGTGTAATACGATTATAAAGGGTTGGATATGAGTTTTGGGTGCGCATATATTAAGGATTCAGAATCTTTTCCCTATTTTTATGTTTATAACTTTTTTTTTATTGTGTAAAAATAAAAACTTGTATGTTATATAGTTGTTATTTGATATCTGGTGCCTTAAAAGCCCAAACAATTTGGGGTTCTGTGATTGTTCCTTCGGGACTCCCAAGTCACAAGAACTAGTGTCCTCTCTATTACTTTTCTGAAGACAACCTTAAAAATTGCTAAATCGGCCAATCACATGGCAGCAACTCAATGCATTTGGGCATCTAGATGTGGCGAAGATGACTTGCTGAAGTTCAAACTGAGCATCAGAATGGGGAAGAAAGGGGATTAAAAGGGACTTTGAACATAGCACGCTTGTTGTGCCAGACGGGCTGCTCTGAGTATTTCAAAAACTGCTGAGCTACTGGGATGTTCACACACAACCATATCTAGGATTTAGAGAGAATGGTCCGAAAAAGAGAAAATATGCAGTGAGTGGCAGTTGTGCGGGTAGAAAGGCCTTGTTATCAGAGCAGAATAGGCAGACTAGATCAAGATGATAGAAAGGCAACAGTAACTCTTAACAACTTGTTAAAACCACGGTATGCAGAATATCATCTCTGTCAAAGCAGATTGGCTACAGCAGCAGAAGACCACACTTGGGGTCACTCCAGTCAGCTAAGAACAGGAAACTGAGGTTACAATTTGCACAGGCTCACCAAAATTTGACAATAGAAGATGGCTAAAAACATCGCCTGGTCTGAGGAGTCTTAATTTCAGCTGCGACATTCAGATGGTAGGGTCAGAATTTGGTGTAAACAACATGAAAGCATGGATCCATCCTGCCTTGTATCAACAGTTCAGACTGGTGGTGGTGGTGTAATGGTGTGGGGGATATTTTCTTAGCACACTTTGGGCCCCCTATTAGCAACTGAGCATCGTGTAAATGCCACGGCCTGAGTATTGATGCTGACCATGTCCATCCCTTTATGACTCCAGTGTCCCCATCTTCTGATGGCTCCTTCCAGCAGGATAATGCTCCATGTCACAAAGATCATATCATCTCCAACTGGTTTCTTGAACATGACAATGAGATCCCTGCACTCCAATGACCTCCACAGTCACCAGATCTCCATCCAGTAGAGCACCTTTGGGATGTGGTGGAACGGGGGATTTGCATCATGGATGTGCAGCCGAACAAATTTGCAGCAACTGCGTGATGCTATCATGTCAATATGGACCAAAA